GATGAAAAGCTAAGATGTCCTCTTGCATAATTCAGAAAGACTGAGTGTTCCTTTATAGTGAGAAGAGCGTCTGTGTTGCCAGCTGACAATGATCACAGTCTGGATGTTGTACACACGAGGTGAAAAATCAGCTTCACGTCCTGAAATGCAAATTTTGTGTTTCACAGACACATAAAAGTGAGAGAAAAGTCTTTACAGCAGGCAGAAAGACTCTTCCAATGTCCACCAATAAGACTGGCCTATAAATTAATCTGGCAGGTTTTGTAGGCAGACATAACAAGATGCTGTTACTGACAAAAGACAACATTTATATGTTGTCTTTTGTAATTCCATCCATAAGTAACACAGTGAACATGGGGCCTGATTTAACATCCCGAATAAAGAGTAGGCTACTAAATTGCGTGTGCATTCTAAGATATTGCACGTGCAATTTTAGTACCTGTTACGAAGAATTATTGCGTAGAGGACAACAGGTGCAAACACAATGGGGGGTTTTGCGTGTTTTAACGGTTTCCGCCATGGAGAGTCGGGAGGGAAAGCAGCCACCATGTAAAAACCTTGGTTTGTTTCCTTCAGTACGTCCCGAGTGTGGAAATCGTCTGTACCTGCACATCCTGCACTAAGTACTTGAGACAGCACACCTGAAAAACTGCTTTGGGAAACCTCAGCAGAAACAGATGCAGTATGCTGCAATGACCCAGACGCCAGGAAATGCCAGCAGATCGTGCTTCATCCAGCCAGAGGGAACGACCACAGACCGTCCTCAGTGTGCCCGGTCGCTCTGCGATCTCCTGTCCCTGTCCGCCCCGACGCCCCGTTCCCTCTCCAAGACCTACAAAGGGTTGTGTCGCTGTTGTGAACAGTTGGTGATCGTTCCCTCTGGCTGGATGAATTTCACGCCTGATCCATGCTGTACTGCAATATTCATATATTTCATCGAATAAATAAAATAAAATAAAATAATAGTATTTCTATATATTAGATATAGAATATTATCATCTAATATTGTTAATTTCTCAACGTCTTCTTTCATCACGGCTGTGTCTCCTTCTGGCAACGATAACAGCAGCCATCTCTGCGCATCACTTGGCGGTTTGCACCTTCCTCTCTAACGTATTAAATCCAGAGGCTGCTGCACTCACATGAAATAGCGTTTAGGCTTGGTAGATCACACTGCGTGTAGTAAATAAATGTATTTGCATGTTACGCCCCAAATTGCATCTTCATTAAGGCAAAAGTAGTAAATGACCAACAGGTGCTATGTTGCGCTTTTTAAAGACGTCACTCTGCGTGCACGCCGTTAGTAGATCAGCTTACGTGTTAATTTGCTGGTGAAATCAAGTTTGCACACGTTTTTATTCGGGTAAACCTTTAGTAAATCTGGCGCTAAATGTACGACTACTTTGGTCGTGAGTTTAGGGCTTTTAATCTGAAAATCATGAAAATCTGCCAAATGAATGTAGGGAATAAAACAGTAGTAGAGTAGAAGTATAAAGTACTTTAAAATGGAAATACTCAAGCAAAATACAAATACATCAAAATTTTAATCAATTACAGTAAACTTGAGTAAGTACTTTTTTTAAGTTACCACCACTGGATTGCAGGTATCTTCTGATGAAGTTTTTGATTAAGCACAAAAACGACTTGAAATTGATCGTTGGTAAAGAAAAAAAACAAACAAACTGCTTCAGGTTTGGGAAGCTTTGTGGTCATTATAACGACAACATGAACAGTCAAACTCACAGACTTTGTTGACCAATCCGCCCCTCACTCAGACGTCTTTGTTAAAGTGTAGACAACAACAAATACTACTAATATTATCTGAACACAGACTCGATATTCGACAAGTGCTGCTTTCGCTTTGCAGCTAATAAGTCTAAGACGTTAAGAGCTATTTAATCACAAAAAGCTACTTCACATCTCCTTCAAACCTAAAAAAATGATTCAAGGTTTCTGACGTGCATGTCAGCCAGTGAGAATTCACTCTTTAAAGACTGAGATATAAAAATACTTCACAGACCTTAAATATCTCTGGCACACAGTGAAGGCTTCAAAATATTATATTATACAATTGAGCAAACATATCAGCTTCCAGACCAACAAAGTAAAAATCAGCAGGTTTAGAGATCGTCTGTGAAGAATGAATTTTTAAAAAGGTAATTTGTTTTTTGTTGCCGATCATAAACTTTAACAAAATCTTGTGCAAGTTTTTTGTTCTCTCCCTGCGAACATGACAGCAGTTGAGTCGGGTTTGTGACATCTTGTATCTCTAAAGTTAAAAGACAACGCAGTTCAAGGTGAGACACCACATTCAAATAGGCATTTTCCCTAACTTTACTCATATCACACTGAAATTTTACAAGCTGAAAGCTAACATAAAAAGAAAATGTTTTTATTTTCAATATGCAAATGAGGTGTTTCCTCATTAAATATGCACTAATTTGCATATTACACTAGTACATTTAAGAGTCAGATTCATTTTTATACACGTCAAAGCAAAACAAGACTAATTAAAATCATTCAGAAGAACCTCAATAAACTGATCTGAACCACAAACCACTTTTCATTTTCATTTTTTTAAGTGTGATAATACACCAAAAGGCTAAACATTTACATAACGATTTTTCAAAATATATATTTTTTATTTAATATACAGTGGGTACGGAAAGTATTCAGACCCCTTTAAATTTTTCACTCTTTGTTTCATTGCAGCCATTTTCCAAAAATCAAAAAAGTTCATTTTATTTCTCAGTAATGTACACTCAGCACCCCATCTTGACAGAAAAAAACAGAAATGTAGAAATTTTTGCAAATTTATTAAAAAAGAAAAACTGAAATATCACATGGTCATAAGTATTCAGACCCTTTGCTCAGTATTTAGTAGAAGCACCCTTTTGATCTAATACAGCCATGAGTCGTTTTGGGAAAGATGCAACAAGTTTTTCACATCTGGATTTGGGTATCCTCTGCCATTCCTCCTTGCAGATCCTCTCCAGTTCTGTCAGGTTGGATGGTAAACGTTGGTGGACAGCCATTTTCAGGTCTCTCCAGAGATGCGCAATTGGGTTTAAGTCAGGGCTCTGGCTGGGCCATTCAAGAACAGCCACGGAGTTGTTGTGAAGCCACTCATTCGTTATTTTAGCGGTGTGCTTAGGGTCATTGTCTTGTTGGAAGGTAAACCTTCGGCCCAGTCTGAGGTCCAGAGCACTCTGGAAAAGGTTTTCGTCCAGGATATCCCTGTACTCGGCCGCATTCATCTTTCCCTCGATTGCAACCGGTCGTCCTGTCCCTGCAGCTGAAAAACACCCCCACAGCATGATGCTGCCACCACCATGCTTCACTGTTGAGACTGTATTGGACAGGTGATGAGCAGTGCCTGGTTTTCTCCACACATACCGCTTAGAATTAAGGCCAAAAAGTTCTATCTTGGTCTCATCAGACCAGAGGATCTTATTTATCACCATCTTGGAGTCCTTCAGGTGTTTTTTAGCAAACTCCATGCGGGCTTTCATGTGTCTTGCACTGAGGAGAGGCTTCCGTCGGGCCACTCTGCCATAAAGCCCCGACTGGTGGATTGCTGCAGTGATGGTTGACTTACTACAACTTTCTCCCATCTCTCGACTGCATCTCTGGAGCTCAGCCACAGTGACCTTTGGGTTCTTCTTTACCTCTCTCACCAAGGCTCTTCTCCCACGATAGCTCAGTTTGGCCGGACGGCCAGCTCTAGGAAGGGTTCTGGTCGTCCCAAACGTCTTCCATTTGAGGATTATGGAGGCCACTGTGCTCTCAGGAACCTTAAGTGCAGCAGAAACTATTTTGTAACCTTGGCCAGATCTGTGCCTTGCCACAATTCTGTCTCTGAGCTCTTCAGGCAGTTCCTTTGACCTCATGATTCTCATTTGCTCTGACATGCACTGTGAGCTGTAAGGTCTTATATAGACAGGTGTGTGGCTTTCCTAATCAAGTCCAATCAGTATAATCAAACACAGCTGGACTCAAATGAAGGTGTAGAACCATCTCAAGGATGATCAGAAGAAATAGACAGCACCTGAGTTAAATATGAGTGTCACGGCAAAGGGTCTGAATACTTATGACCATGTGATATTTCAGTTTTTCTAAAAAAATTTCTACATTTCTGTTTTTTTCTGTCAAGATGGGGTGCAGAGTGTACATTACTGAGAAATAAAATTAACTTTTTTGATTTTTGGAAAATGGTTGCAATGAAACAAAGAGTGAAAAATTTAAAGGGGTCTGAATACTTTCCGTACCCACTGTATATCACATGTGTGTGACGGGCCCTTTTTCCCCCACATATTTACAGTGTAAAGAGTGTAAAATTATAATCTAACTGCCTAAAACATGTCATTATGTGACAACATTAGCTAACGCACTAGAAACACACAGTATTGTCAAGACCTGCTCTTTTATGAAAAGCGCTCTGAGATAACTGTTGTTGTGATTTGCCGCTATATAAATAAATTGAACTGAATATTACAATCACGGTTTGTAACATGAACACATCTCTTAAGGACTTATTAAAGAAGAACTCGCAGGGCTGACTTACATGGCGCAATATCTTTCTCGACCCGCCGTATTCAGGGATTAACTCCGCCCTCATACAGATCCCCTGTTACATTTCCTAAAATTGCATGTGCTAAGCATGTTTTTTCATCTGAACCACAAAGTAAATGTGAACACGTGTTCACAGTACCCTGTGTGAAACAATCAGGACGGAGACTTTTGGCTCGTCAGCAATAACAACCAGAAGTTAAGAAGCAAAACTGGAAATAGGAACAAACAACAAAAAAAAGGGCGGGTCGCTTGAGGCCAGTGAATGAGTGAACGAGGGATTTCGGACACAGTCCGGCTTTACAGGCACCATCATCCTGTTGGATCCTATTTAATTTGACGGGTTCTATGACTGACTTGTCCGGATCTAACCCAGTTTAGTTCCAGCTGGGTGAAACCCAACACCCCCAGTAATAAACCATCCCACTTACCTATCGTCAGCAGTCCCATCAAACTTTTCCAATGGCCTTTACTGATTTTCACTGGTCTCTTCTGGTCTGTCCAGGCCTGGTCTGATCCGCTCTACAGAGTCTAACTGGCCGACTGGTCCGGTACTGGTTTGGCCTTTTGGATCTGGTCCAGCTTGAGATGCCAGGTTCTTGCGTCTGTGATTGGTTGGACCTCAGCTTTCAGATAAGTTTCTGGTGGATTGTTGTAATCCTGTGAGTAGTTATAGTAGAATGAGTACTTTAGTAGTTTCCGAAATATGTTGTAGTTCCTCTTGTAGTATGAGCCGAATCCGCAGTAGATTAAGTATTTTTACAGTAAACAGTACAGCATTTTCTGTAATGTGTAACTGTAGTTATTGTGTAGTAATCCTGCAGTAGAGTGAGTGGTCTCAGAGTTTCAGATTGTATTCTGGGAGTTGCCCTGCCCATCCTGTAGAGAAGGGAGGAAAAGGGGGAGGAAAAGGGGGAGGAAGAGCGAGAGGAAGATGGGGAGGATGCGAGTGGGAGGTAAAGGAGAGGGAGGCCAGGATGTGAAGGAATGGGAGGAAAGGACGAGGGGGGGGGGGGGGGGGGGGGGAGAGAAAAAAAAAAACATGTCAGAAGAGGAGTGGGAGTACAGAGACGACGGAGCGTGCTGTCTTGCAGTTTAAATCATAACTGGGTCAGACACAGTTGCATTTAGCGGAGCCCACTTCAGGTTGAGACAGTCGCACAATATGAAGCTAACTCGTAAACCTTGTTTCCAACTGCTGCTATGTTGGTAGCATTATATAAAGTACTAATATATGTTTCTGTTTCGATTCTCAGACGAGTTGAAAAAATTAGAAACCTGATAGCAGAGACCAGGAAGTAGCTTTAGCATTTATGAATCTTGAGGAAATCACTGTTATGTCAGAAAACAGACACAGAAAGATGCAGTAACTCACTGATAACGACTGGATTCTGTGTTTGGCTGTGATGAAAGGCGACATAAGACTCGCAGAAGGAGTCAGAGGAAACAGAAGTGTTGGTCAAAATGCTTCATTCATTCAATCCTATAAAATGTTTTTTGTTTTTCTGCTGTTTTAGAGTTTCAGCGTGGACGGTAAGCTTGAAGAAAATGATATGAAGAAACTAGATCTGCAGTGATTAGTCAATTAATTGATTCATTTTAATAATCAATTAATCGTGTAAGCCATTTTTTAAAAGCAAAATAAATTCTCTGGTGTCAGTTTCTCCAGATGTCTCAGATTTTCTTCACACACGCTTACTGTTTTACTTATTTACATATCTTGTTAATTTTTTATTTTTAATATTTAATTTTACTTTATTTTTATTATTTAATTTTATATATTTTTAAACACACAAAACACTTATTTTTGCTGTTTTCTTTACTTATTTAATGAAATGTTTGAAATTTGTAGCTTTGGCAATATTTCTTTTTTTTTTATTATTCTTTTTTTTATACAAAAAAGAGAAAACAAGCTCAGGGAAGGAAAAACTAACAAAATAAAAACATATTTCATATATTTTAGGTCAAAGAACAGAACAATAAAATAATAAATACATAGATATAAAATAAATAAAAAATAGCTATTCCTGGATTATCTGCTTGTTGCATCTTCCCCCAAATAATATCTTCGACTTGAAAAGTTAACGTTGCTTTAATAATTATTCAGTCAGGACAGAATGATGTTGTTGTAAATCTGAGTATTAATCTGATACCAAGTTACAGGAGAAGGTGTATATGTTTGTTCTAAGGTTAATAATGTTTAAAAAGTTTGAAACCATGATTTCTCATTTATATTATTAACTGTCTTCCAATATTGTTGTTTTACATTCATGCTAACAAAGCTGAATTAAATTTAAATTTAAAATGTAATAAGAAACTAATAATTTATTACAATTTCTGAGTAACTTACCCAGCACTGTTAGCATACTGCTGTTGGCTTACTGGTAGTCAGTTAGCAGCACAGTCTTGTTAAGAGCCAGCTGTTGACCTTCGGTAGCTTATTAGCAGAGAGCTGTTAGCTTACTATTTAGTCAGCCAGTAGCATACTGGAAGCCAGCTGGTAGCCTGCTAATAGCTAAACAGCATGCTAGCCAGCTGGAGTGTGGGGGTGTGTGTGTGTGTGTGTGTGTGTGGGTTGGTATAAACCAGGATGTTTCCATGGCAACGCAGACAGCATGAGGACATGTTGGAAACAAGGAAAAATAAAAATACAAGACATGACAAAGATTAGAAGTACTTCCTGTCACTCACACTTCCTGTTTCCCATCCGGTTTGCCAAGGAAATGGATGTTTGGCAGGAAAAAGCAGAGAAGCTGGACGGCACTGATAACACACACACACACACACACACAGTATGTTTTGCGTGTGTGTTTGACATTGTTCTTGGATCTTGTATAATCCGGATCGTCTGCAGATCCAGTTCCAACTTATGTTCAAGTGACTCTTAACAATTCAGGACTTTTACTTCAGTTTTTTTTTTCTCCCTTTGGTTGTGAATAGAATTATTTCCCAGCACATTTCGATCACTACATTTGCAATCCATCACATAGCACATGTTCACACACACACACACACGCACGCACACACACACACACACACACCACGCGTCACTCTGAATCTCAACGAGCACCAACTGGACGTGAAGCTGTCCAGTTGTGGTCAGATCACAAACACGCTGTTAGGTGTGAATAAGATGTGTGTGTGTGTGTGTCCTGAAACTGAAGCTCCACTGGCCATTACCATGGTAACCAATGGCAGGAGCTGATAAGACACACTGTGTTATCATGTCTCTCTCTCTCTCTCTCTCTCTCTCTCTCTGTGACACACATCCACACACTCGTCAAGTTTCTCACATCACTGAGAAACTAGTTCAAAGATGGGTGTTCAGTTTCTTCAGGGCTCCCACTTTTTTTATCCAGAAATAATTTTTCAGGAAAATTTCAGTGATGATCTGGCTCGTGTGGCAGACAGGCATGACGTCATACACTGATATGTTCCTCTGACTTCTAAAGACTGCAGTCTGTGGCTATAACTTATCAATGAAATCATCTATTACATGCTTAGCAGTTATGACAAATTGATCTTGTCTTGTTTTAATGCTACGTCTTAAAGGTCCAGTGTGTATCATCATCATGCTTTTCCTTTTTATTATTTTAATGTATTTTTAATTAATGCATTTTGAGGTTAAGCCTGACAGAACAAGAACTGCACGGGATGTCGATCCTACATAGTGCCATAAGTCGCTTTCACACGGGGATCCCGCAATAAACACTTTCCCATACCGATCCGGCTTTCTGGGACGCGGAGGCGACAGAAAAACACAGTGACGTGTAACAACGCTTTTCACTAGGGCTGAAACGATTCATCGATTAAATCGTTTAACCCATATAACTATACAGCGCACTGTTTCGCACGGACATTTATTACCGTCGCACATCACGCTTACGCTGTGAACCCGACGGGACTATGATGCCGCTGTTTGCAAAGTGGAGGAAGAGAGAAAATAGCGAAGGACATAGAAGAAAGTGTCCAAAGTATGTTATTATTTTATAGCTGTTTCAAGAAAACAACAACTCTGTAATGTTACTGTCGGTCCACCGTAAAACTAAACTTATGTCGCCTTGGCAACAGCACGACGGGGCCTGATCAGAAAGCAGCCTGTGTTCTGTTCTCAAGCCTCTCAACGACTACAGCGACAACACCGCAGCTAACAAAATGCAGTCAACTAACAACCGGCTCCCAGCACGACACAGACAACAACATAAGGATACAAAACAACAATAAAAGTTCTATGTGCTGAAGCCCAGCAGACCAAACGCGAATCAGATGATGTGTCATACACATTCAAAATCAAAAAGGCTCGAGTCACAGAGAAACCGCCGCTTTGGTTTGGAAACCTACAAAACAGAAAGTTGGCTTTCATCCTTTTGGACAGGTAAACTGCAAAGCATGTGAAACACACTATGATTTGGTGCTTTAGTGGCTCAAGTTAAATAACGTTGATGTTATCTGGTGAAAAACAGTTGTCTGGCTTTCCACATTTCTTCACCAGCTAAGCTCGACCCATATTACTATCCTGTGTAACACCGGTATTATAAGTGTTGATTTTAGCCTGCAAGAAATAATGTTACCGTACAAATAAAATGTGGAGTGATTTGTTTACTAGCCTATAGTGATGCAGAGGCAGCCAGCTAACGTTAGCGTGGATCTACTGCCATTTGCTTTGTAACGTTCAATTTAGATTTGTCGTTTTACCGATACTCAGGTAAACAGCTTCTCCTCTGTCTCAGTCGCTGTAACTTACGTGACACACATAATATACAATAATGCAACATAATGGTGCAGAACAACAACACAGAGGAAGACCCATCCACTACAGCAATGTTACTTACTGTGGTCTAACTGTTGGCAACAATCTTTATTTATAATATTCAGTCCAGCTCGCTAACCATTTGTTAGATGTGCTCACATTGCTGAGCCTCTGGCGAAAGATACACAAGCTAACGCCGATATATCACGTCGGCTAAATGCAGTAAATGTAACGTTATCAACGAGCATAGATTATTTCAACCTCAAGCTGGTGAAAATATTACGTTGCAGTGGAAGTTTCAAGCATGTTTTCCGAAGCTGTCTCCCGGTGTTTCGCTGCGCTGTATGAAAGATACGGAGCTTTTGGTGTTGGTCTGCCTCTGAGCCGGGAACAGAGCCTGAACATGTCTGTATGTAAAACCACAGCCGCCATGTCGGTGTTTCCGAGTTTATTGTGGGATCCCTCATGAGTTTGAGTGTACGTATGAGCACACACCTACATGCAATCAAAAACCTTTTCCTGAGGCTGAACATAAAAATAATTAATTTATTAAGGAGGTTTAAGCTGAATGATGAAGCATGATTAATAAGCATCTTGTAAGTTTATAAAACCATTTACTGTTCTGTCTTGAATACATTAATTAATTAATGGCATCACATCTGGTGTCTTCTTAAAGTTTCTATTTGACAGAATACTTTATTGTCTCAATTAAAAGTACTGAAACACACGTTAACGTGACATAAAAAGGCACGTTATTATTTTGGCCGGTAAAAAATTTGTTTGGCCGGTGGATTTTTTCATCTACCAGTCCCAGAGGTTAATTTCCACCCCTAGCTGTTACCACTCAGGTACATCTTTAGACCATCTCCAACGCGGGTCTATAGTTTGTCACATAAAGCATAAACGTAGGCGCTTAACAGCCGAGGCAGTCGGGCAAAAAGATGGACAAAGATGGCCGAGGTTGCCTGACCTTAAGTCAGTCACGCAAGTAGAGTGGCGTTTCATATACAAAGAGTTGCAGGTCGTCTTGCTAGAATGATTTGTGACATGAGCAGAGCTTTGTGGTCTGAACACAGGCTGCATTATGGGAAACGTAGTCCTCTGACTGCATTTTTTTGGGGTTCACAGAGGCTCATTTTCCTCTGTGGGAATGGCGGTGTCACCTCTGACCATCGAGGCTGAAGCAAAGTCACTCCGAGACCGGCCTGCCGCCACGGTGCTTGGCTGAACACGTTGCCATGACAACCTACAAGATGTTAACGGGCGCAGAAGAAGAAAATCCACTTCCTGTTTGAAGTGTTTGATTTTTTTTTTTCCTAGTAGATCATCTTTTTAGATAGACGGTCTGAGACTACGGCCTACACACTCTCTGCTGCGCTTACATAACACACACACAGAGGACGGTGAAGCGATGCTGGAGGAAACAGAAACAGGAAATAAAAAGACGACCCACAGAGAGATGAAGAGAGGAGGCAAGGAGGGATAGAAAAGGAAAAGACAGCAAAGGAAGACAGGACAGGAGGGTAGGACAAACATTTAAAGGGATAAGAAAATGATGTGAGGAGAGAAGGAAAGGAAAGTAAAAAAGGGGGGGTAGTTACAAGTACTGAAGGAATGAATGGAAGAGAGGAGAGTAGGAAAGGTTGGAGGCAAAGGAAAAGAGGAAAGGAATGGAAATAAGAAGAAAAAGAAAAGAAAAGGAGAAGATGTGAAGGAAGAGAGGAAGCAAATGAGGAGATGAGAGAAGGAGATTAAGAAAGGATAGAAGAGATGGAGGGAGAGGAGAGGATGGGGAAGGAATGGAAAAAAAGAAAGGAGGCAAGGAGAAGAAGCAAGAATAGAAGATATAAATGGAGGGAGAGTAGAGGGAAGGAAGGGAAAAGAAGAGAGACGGCAAGGAAAGAACAGGACAAAAGGAGGCAAGGTAAGGCAAGGAAACAAATGAGAAGAGGAGGGAAGGAGATGAAGAAAAGTTTGAAGAAATGAAAGAAGAGAGAAGATGGAGAAGGAAGGGGAAACAAGAGAGGATGCAAGGAAAAGAAGTAAGAGAGTAGTAGAGAAGAAGAGATGAAAGAATATGAGATGGAGGGAGTGGAGAGGAAAGGACATAAGGAGGCAAGTAGAGTAACTAAATGAGGAGAGAAGGAGATAAAGAAAGGATAGAACAGATGAAGGGAGAGGAGAGGAAAGGAGATATGGAGGCAAGGTAACAAATGAGATGACAGGATGGATGGGAAAAAACAAAAATGACTAAGAGTAAGCAAAGAAGGCAAAGAAGGAAGGAATACAAATAGGAGGGAGGGGAAGGAAAAGGAGGAAAGGAGGCAAGTTAAGGAAGGAAAAGAGAGATGAAGAGGGAAAGAAAGCAATAAGAGTAGGCAAGGAAAGGACACGAGGAAAGGAAGCAAGGTAAGGCAAGGAAGAAAACGATAAGAGATTAGATGATGGAAAGGATAAGAAGAAACGAACGAGGAAGAAGAGGAAAAGAAGAGAGAAGGAGAGGAGGCAAAGGAAAGAAAAAGACAGAAGGAATGCAGATTTGAGAGAAGGAGAGAGGAGGCAAGAAAAGACAAGAAGGCAAGTGAGGAGAGGAGGAAAGGAAATGAAGAGATGAAAGGATGATGAGAGGTAATAAATAAAAAAAAAGGTAAAGTGTAGAGAAAATGTAGTCACGACTTTTAAAGTTACAGAGCGGCAGCAAGTGACCGACACACACTATCGCTGAAACAACGTTAGCCAAACACACACACATTCCCTCTAACACACACTAACTCAAACACACACACATTAACACACACAGGGCTGCAGAGAGAGACTCACCCAGAAGATCACCGACTCGTTCTCCATGATGATAAACTGAAAAGAAAAGGAAGGACTGATGGACAGAGAGAGAGAGAGAGAGAGGTGGAGGAGAGAGTTGATGGAGGATGGGGGGAAAAAAGAAGAGGAAGAAGAAAAAGAGGAGGAGGAGGAGGAGGAGGAGGTGTAGCTGGAGACGGAAAGAGAGAAGAGAGAGAGAGAGAGAGAGAGAGAGAGAGAGAGAGAGAGAGAGGCAGGATGAGTGGAAGGCTTGTCGGTTCAGCCCACACACTGCCAGCATGACACACACTCCTGAGTGTACGAGAGTGTGTGTGTGTGTGTGTGTGTGCACGTGAGAGTGCGCACGTTATCTCCCACTCGAATGCGTGGGTTAGAAAACACACCTCTCTCTCTCTCTCTCTCTCTCCTGCTCTCTCTCAAACGAGCGAGAGAGCAAGAGAGAGAGGGGGGAGAGCGAGGTGGGGGGGGGGTTATGAAGCGTGGGAGTGGAGGAGCGGCCCCGTCGCCATGGCAACGATGCAATAGCAGGACAAAAAAAAATTAAATTAAAAATTAGAATAAAAAGGATTCATCATCATCGTCACCATCATCACATGCCATTGATGACGAGCCCAGGTGCATGATGGGGGATGCTCAGCTATTAAGTACATGTTTTTGTTTTATTTGACTTTTTATTTTTTTTCTGTAAGTGGGATCGACCAATCAGAGCACATGTGGCAGATGGTCACATGACCCAGGAGATGAAGAGGGTGTTTTCCACATGTGAACCTGCAGTCAGGCAGTCAGAGACGCTGGAGGATCGCAGACGTTTGAATCTCGTCACAAAGATTATTTTCACTGTTGATTTATCTGTCGATTATTTTCTCGATTCATCGATTATTTTTTTGGTCTATAAAGTGTCAGATAATTGTCACAAATGTCGATCAATGTGTTCCACAGCCCAATAAAACGTCCTCAAAGGTCTCTTTTGTCCCCAACCCAAAGCTATTGATTTTACTGTCATGGAGGTGCAAAGAAACCAGAGAATATTCACATTTAAGAAGCTTGAATCAGAGAATTTTTCTTCAAAGAAATTATTCAAAGCAATTAATCGATTATCAAAATAGTAGCCGAAAACCGTAATGGTCCGAATATATGACGACCCCGCCTTTTTCAAAACTCATTTTTGGAAAAACTTTTTGAAGACCAAACCTGTTTTTTTTAAAGAAAATTACCTTTGAAAATAATTCAAATAAAAACATATTGAATAAAATAAAACAAGGTGTTGTTTTTAACATCTTTTAAATAAAATAACGTTACATTTAAGGTCACATTTAAATTACCGCTCTAATAAAATGTACAGGTTATCACATTTGTAAATTAATGATTTATTTCATTATTATTATTTACAGTAAATATCATAAAAATGAGAATAAACAGTCTACTGGTGTTTCTGATACCAATTAAGCTGTCCATCATAGTGAAAAATGTGACTCAGGTGAGTTTTTTGTACAAATTTCCAGGAAATAAACTCTTATATTTCAGACCAATATAGTAATTTAATAGTTGACAACTAATTGATTATTCGATTATTCGTTGCAGCTCTACTTGTCATCAGCTTGAATCCGTTCACATGGCTGTTTTCTATGCTACAGACATGTTAATGTTAAAGCCAACAATTACATAAATATGAGATTTTTTACATTGAATCAGCCTGGAGTCCATTTTAAAGGTTCATTTCTGTGTTTTTAAACCTATTTTCACACATTTTGGTGAAATGAAATGACTCGTAGGTACAAAAAGTTTTCTATCCATGCAGTCGATGCTTCAGCCGGCAGCTGAACTGGCTGCAACTTATTTTATCAACTTATCACATTTAAACAGTGATTGCTGCAGAAATGTAGTGTTTTCTGTGCAACTGTCCACAGAGTCGCAGTGTTATACCTAAAGAAGGACATACATTTGTATTCTGTGCTGAGGATAAATCCATGATGTCAGGAGATAACAGATGACAGACTGATCATAAAGCGGTCATGTTTGGGTAAAAAACTAATAGCCTATTCAACCGGGATTTTAAAGTTTTTAAAGGTGTAATGGCGTTCCGATAGGTGCTTTAAAATCGAGAAGCATGAATGAGGAAATGTCAGACAGCCGCCTAAGTCTCCGCAGGAGGGGAGGAGTTAGACAGAAACTGGTGGTCCAACATATCCAACGAGTTACTGATCTAGGGTTTATCTGATCTGGCTCTCTGAAACAGAAAACCCAGAGTTTCCCTCATCTCAGGCTTAACATACTCAGAATTTTCACTAATCCCGCTTTCTGAAACAGGACCCTGGTGTCTGACAACGTCATGGAAAGGATCCCTACGAGGGACTCCTGGCTCAACAACTACAGCAGCAACACCCTCGTTACATTAATGCATGAAGAATAATAATCTGATGAGAGAAGATATAACAGGCACAGGGACATTTAAATGCTTTGTATGTTGCATAATTTTACCTTTTTTACTGATTATATTTACATACTTTGGCAGCACACTAGAGGATAATTGGGACAATTTCGGGTCCAATTTGCTCTCTCGTCAATCTCGGGGGTCTTCCTGAGCCGAGGCTGGTCAGAAGTATAGACGTTATTAAAGAAGTTGGTGGACCGATGTTTTGAAGCATCGAGTTTGACATTTTGGCCGTCGCCATATTTTTTAATCAGCTAAAGCAAAACAGCAACGTGAAACTCAGAAAGAAACTCCAGCCGCTGCTGCCAGTGCTGCTTGGACTCATCGGGAGAGAGTGGCGTTATATCACCCAGTAGTAAGTAGAGTAGCTAATATTACTTTTTTAAGGAGTATATGCTAAGTAACTAGTAGGTAATAACTATTATTTCTGAGTAACTTGCCCAACACTGAGTTGACAATAAGGATAAATTGGGTATGTTTTGATTATTGCTTGTTTTAGGCTATGTCTAATGTTTACTTTGACTTTGTTGTCAATTGATCAATCAGATTGTACTTTGCTGTACAAATGGCTGTTGGCACATTATAAGTTAATGTCTTGTGAATTGTTGTGACAGGGTTTTTATAAAGCCTTTTCATACACAGCTTGGATCCGCGGGGTCACCCTGCGCTCCTCATCAACAGACAGGCAAACAAGCGCTCCGCGAGGTAACCATGGCAACGGCTTCTGTGTAACTGGCGCGATCCCGTGAAACTGGCAAACTTTTTCCTACAGTTTATCACTAGACAGCAGACTGATCTGCTGTTTGATCTGAGTTTCCTGTATAACTGTTTCTTTAACAGTCAGGCCACCAGGTCTTAAACAGGCAACGACCTTTTCGTAATTCACCGTCTCTTATTCATTAAAAATAATCTATTAACTTCTACTGAAGTCTTTTGAAACTTAGTAGTTATATTATTTAGTTAAAGACTCAATTATTTCATGCTGCATGTTGCACATTTAGCTGTTGAAGTTTGGTGAAAAATGAATACAAACTAATAATTATTATAGAGAGGTGGCGATGGCGCAGTGGATTAGACACTTGTCTTTGATTCCCACTGCAACACATCCACCAAATAAGTTATTGTCATGGGTCCGGCTTTACCATCCATGCTATAATAGAGCCGCCGCCAGTTTGATCGGGGTGTGGAGGGGTCTCATTATTTATTCCTGCTTTTTTGCCCTTGGTCAATCTCATGCTGTGTTGAAGAAGACTTGAAACTAGCGACTGAGACCATAAACTCATCAGGAAAGTGTTTACAGAGGTAATATATCAGCTGATTAGTAGAATGCAGGTTTAAGGGACTGCCGTGTTGGCATCCGATTGCTGACCGGAAGCTTCCCGCTTGGTTGGAACAATTATCAGCCCAAATTATGCTCAAGTGTGACAGACATAATCTTAAGATTGCCAACTGGATTGATATTTACGATTTAATACTCCGAACATTTCTTGTACCTTGAAAGGAACAGCGATGGAATATTGAGCAGAACCCCGCAACAGCCAATGAGAGTGAGCTGACCGGGAAGCATGTTGTGTATTTGCCCGCGCTATAAAATGTATAACCTGCCGATTCCGTCTTCTCAGCTTCCAGTTCATCCACAGTTTCACTTTCTTCTTTTGTTTGTAGCTTTTGTTTAAACAAGGGCAACCAGCTGATAACGACAGTCTGCCTCCATGTTTGTTTCTGTCAGAAGTTTAATCACGCAAGTTTCTGTGAGATCCTAAGTCCCCTGAACCGCCACTCTCAAATCGCTTAATATTAAACGCCAAGTGTGTGGCCCGGCGTCTTGACTGAATCATCTGGTGTGCGTTCTTATTATTAAAATATTAAAAATCTGTTAATTCTGTTGTTACGTCCGTGATACCCCATGTTTTTTTGACAATCCTGAGATTACGGTAACATTACTCGTAATGGAGTATTTTTACCCAGTGGTATTAGTACTTTTACTTAAGTAAAGCATCTGAATACTTCTTCAACTAGTACAATGGAAAATTTGTCCACACTTTTTAAAAAAGTGTTTAAAAAGCATCCTTTGCCAGATAAAGCTCGGGTCAAACGGGACTTAATGCCGAGGACTGAAGGAGGATGTTTTATTTACTGATCCTGAGATAACAGGCTTTAATTTGATGATGGCGAGCATAAACGAGGTTAAGAAATGATAAAAACAAACTGTCATCATATAATTACATGTTCTGAAGCTTGTGCTGAAGTTGCAATCACAACAAACCCTTTATTTACGTGGCTTGAAAGGTTCAGCCGGATGTCATTTCTGTATTTGTTTGAACTGTCGCTGAATCTGTATGTGAGAAACAAACAATATACTCTGAGGGAGAGATCACACACTTGATGGCTTCCCTCCTCTACAGATCTGCTGCTGCTCACATCACCAACTGTAAAAGGGAAAAGGAGCTTCAGGTGTGTTTATTCCCACTGAACTGAGACAAAAGAGAGATAAGATGGAGCCTAAATGTTATCAAGACTGAATCTGAGCACGGGCCGGTGGTAGATGAGTTTGTTAAATGGTGTGATGAGGCCTTCCTCCAACTAAATACTACAAAGACTAAGGATATAATTATTGATTTTTAGAAGGAAGTCATCCAAATCACCAGTCTCAGACCTTCATTAAAGGAACTGGTATTGAATTTGCAGAACAGTATA